ATATTAGGTTACATAGCAACACTAGCATGTTTTTTGCAAAGGCCGGGTTCAGAGCTAGTCAGCTTGCTACAACCTTGAAGAAGACGCTTGAACTTGCTCTCCTGCTTCTTCGGCTCTGTTCGCTAATAGCTCTAAAAGCAATTCATCGATTTTCATTCGAATAAAAGCATCTTACCTCTAGGTATAAAAAAAAAATCAGATAGCATGATATAAAAAAAAAATGGCTAGCAAGATGTAAATAAAAAATTATCAACCAAAATAATCTAGCTTTACTAATCTCCAAAGAGGTCAATACCCATATTCTCACTATCCGAATCAATCAGAGCTTTAGGAATATTACCAGAGGTAATGATTCTGGATTGAAAGATCATAACCTCATTACCGGGCTTGAAAATCGGAGCTTCATCTCCAGTATCTTCTGATTCTTTGTTTATGATTGGAACAATAGTGCTAGTCACCTGTAGTGCTTCGATCTGTAGACCCTGCTCTCCTGCTTCTTCAGTTTTGTTCGCTGACAGCTCTAGAAGTAATTCATCAATTTTCATCTGGATTAAATCATCGGCATTAGCTTTATTCCGAAGCCTATTAAAATATTGGGTCACATAATAGGTACCAGAATGCTTTCTACAAAGGCCGGGTTCAGAGCTAGTCGGCTTACTGCAAACCTTACAAGGAATGCGAGGTTTAGCTTTCCAATGTTCAAAGCAACCTTCTGGCTGACGGCAGGTTCGCCCACAAACCCATCCAGTTCTAAGTAAATAGTTGCAAAAATATTTGCCTCGCATAGTAATAAGAAATAAATATTTTATTTTAAACTAAAGTTTTCGCTATATTAATACAAATAATATTCAATACTTATACAAAATGGTTAACTACAAAAATATCGAAACAGCTTTAGTTGAAGTGATTAAAGTAGCATATAGTCAAGGTACCAAAAATATGATAAATTAGGAGCATCATATATAAACTATCTTAAAACTTTACAGTGAAAAAGAGATCTAGAAGATCATATTAGATATGTAGCAAAGCAACGCACTCCAAATGAGGAAACCTATAATGAAAGAATGGCAGATTTTAAAGATTGGTACAATGAAGAGATATATACTAGTTTAGAAAAGTTATATAAATTATATTTAGAAATAGCCAATCAAGAAGAAAAAGTAGAAAAGCGAACAAAATTACAAGTAGATGAAATTCTTCAAAAAATACATGGTTTGGAAATTTAAAAATTAATATATATTAAAGATACCAACTTCAACTATTAATTTCATAATACCCATTTGGGTGGATATTCAATCTTATCAACTTTCATTAATTGTTCACGAACAAATGATCTTTCAGGTCCATTGCCATTTTCATCTGTAATCCAGTACAATACTGGTTGATTTTTTTGTATTAAGGATTCTTTAATATGATAAACTTTCGGAGACCAATTACAATCAGTCACACGATGTCTTCCACCTTCTAACTTACCTGGTTCAAGTAAGTATCTTACCAAAATATTATAAGATAATCGAGGTTCATCAAATCCAACAGGACCATTGCGAGGTAAAGAAGGCATAGCACTAACCCATTTCTTTTGAATAGCTTCTGCAGGAGTCATTTTAAGAAGTCGAGTTACAGAATTATTAAGTTCTTTAACAATAATTGGAAGATTCTTCACCCAAACCCTAGACCTTTCAGATATTGGCAATAGCAAATCTGACGCATCTTGTATTCGAAACAATCTCTCTGCCAAGGTTCGGTTATATCTTTCAACAATACCCATACTACGTTTAGAATTAGCCTTCTGGATTTTTACACCATGCCTTTTCATCAGTCTCTCACAATCCCCTCTAAATTCTGAGCCCTTATCTGTTAATAATAATTTAGGATAAATAAGTGGACATGTTAGATCATTATAGATTTTTTTAAATGTCTTAGCAATAGTATTGGAAGTTAAAATATTTTTTAGGCTCGAAGAGCCATTGCTCCACAATAGATTAACATCTTTAGCCTTTAGCCGGTTTATGTCAATATTAGGAATAATACCTTCAATTGGAATTGATACTTTATATCTACTCGCTATATCTACTACATTAAGAGAAAACATATAGGTTATTTTTCCAATTTTATCATAAGGCATATAGAGAATATCGGCCTGATGACATTCATTAGGAATTTGAATCGTATTAAATGAAACTCGAGGAATATACCTTGGAGGTGGCTTGTGAATCTGAAAAACGGCTTGCTTATTTAACCAATTACGTATCTCAGCTAATGAAAAATTATGTCCAGCCCTTCTACATGCATCACGCATTTTTTCAGCAGTCTGATAATAACCTTCAGGCCTATAATAAATTTTTTGCAAAGTAATCTCCTTATCCAAATCATGGACCCTTTGTGGGTCAATATAAATTACGGGTTTCTCCATTCCTTTGTTTTATTATAGTAATAAAAAAGATGGAGGAGTTACAACAAACTAACCAGGAGCTTCATGAGGTAATCTCACAATTGGCTCAATCAAACAGAGATATTGAAAAAC